AGCGTTTTCTTGGTTAGCATGTTAATATGATGCCTGAACTCAGATTCAGTTGAATTTGTTTCAGGAAGCCCAATTAGGAGCACTGTGTACCTGGAAATTGAACTTATAAGCTGTTATCTCGGATAACCAAGTGTATAATTTGTATAAAGTACTTGGGATCAGCAAGGGCTTGTGTTTTGGGACTTGAAGGACTGTAATTGCAGACACCTGCTGCAGGTGTCTAGCTTAGCCATGCCCTTGGCCAACCTCATACTGCATGAATGTCTCCTGATCTCTGCCTTAGGCTGTCCAACTCCAGCTTCTCATGACTCTGTCTCTGTTGTGTCCAATTGTATGGATCCTGGCTCATTCATGTGAGATCAGACTCTGCATGCTGAACAAATGCCTAAAGGAGATGACCATGATCCAAGTGACGCCTCCCAATCCCATCACTAGCCAGAGTTCTGATCAGATTTTGCAGGATTTATTGGTGACTTGGGAATGTGCAGTGCACATTCAAGATTGTCCTCATTAGCATGCCTTATTCAAAGAGATTTTTCAAGGAGGTGACTGGATCTGATGTCCTACAGCCACCCTGTAAGACCTGCTTTGAAACTTGAGAATCCATTCATGGTTCCATTCAGAGTGAAAGATGTGGAAACCTGTCACCTGTTTCTTTGCCCTCTTCCATTCAAACACATCCACCCAGAACTTCTCATGCCCAGGAACACCTTGCCTGCTAGAGTCTGCACTGTACCTTTTGTCCTCATGACTCACTTCAATGATTAAGAATGGAGTATCAGAAGACTTCACCCTCTACTCTACTTTCTCATCAGGAACAGTCTGATGAGATTCTGTTCCCTAGGTTGTGGTAGAGCTCAGTCTACTTTATGTGCTGCTCTTCACATCTCGTGGCCCCATCAAGAATCCTGACACATTATGCCTTCTTCCAGGCACCTGGCCTTAGACTATGAACATGGCCACCTCATTTTTTAGGTGGAGAAACAGAATGTTACTGAGCAGTGAAAATCCAAGGACAGATTGTCGGGTGGGAGCTGAAGCCTACTATGTGATGTCTGGTTCCCTACAATGACTAAAAAGTGGCTTCTTTAAAATGAAGCCAAATACTAAAGCAATAGAAATTCCAGAAGAAAGTGTTACTATAAGCTCTAGCTGCAAAGAATGCAAGTTGCCCTTGGTTTTGTTACTGGCAGCTAAGCCAGGGAGCCTGCCTGGATCCCAGCTGGCCCAATTCAGCTGCCTACTCACATAAGCAAATGATGTAAAAAGAAACATGAAGGTAATGCAATTTGATTGAACTCGGGAGAAGCAGCTAGATTGTTTCTCTGTAGGTCTTACAGAGGGGTTATAATTTATAGAAACAAAAGCCAGGTAATATATACACCTATATCTAGGTAAGCTGTGTTAGCCAGAGAACATGTCAGTTTCAGCTTCATTGGTGCCAGCCTAGCCAGATGAGAGTTGTTTAGTTTCCAATATCAGCACAAGGATGTTCTCTGTTTCAGTTTCAACCAAGACATTTTTATCATGAGTGAACAACTCACTAGGAAAAGCAATAGAAACAGGGCTTCCTCAGGATTTGGTTAGCTCCTGGGTAATAAGCCTAAATTTAAAGTCTCTCTGACCTTTAAACCAGCCAGACATAACCACACAGTTGATATTTCCTTTATTTTATTATCACTGAGTTAATTGCTCAGGAAATTATGGGGCTATTCTTAATATGATAATCATTAGTATTAATGATCATGATTAGTGTTAATAACCATTTTCATGGTGCTTTCTCATTTGATACATGAAGCTGTGAATTGCATCATTTCATTTTCTCATAGTGAATTCCTTTGAGAAACCCAACATTTATCATTCTCATTTTCTCACTGAATATATCTTTTTAGCAAGGCTTTGAGGACATGCTATTAACCTACCAGAAAATTTCCAGAAAAGAAATAGTTGAATTCTCTGGAATTTGGAATTTGATAACGGCTAACATTTTTTTTTGTATGTGATGTTTATTTCCTGCCTTTTAATAAGACTGAGAAGAAATAGTTTTTAATAAAATCTAGAAAATGGCAGAACATAAATACAGTAGCAAGGAGAAATTCTAACTAGAGAGAAACTATATGTATATGTATATGTGTATGTGTGTATATATGTGTGTGTGTATATATGTGTGTGTATATATAAATATAAATATATATGTAAATATATATATATATATATATATGTATATATATATATATATATATAGTATATGGTTGCTTCTCAAGCTTTAACTGTAGGATTAGGTTAAAATGCAGATTTTGATTCAGCAGGTTTAAATTAAGCACGGTTTTGGGCTTTTCTAACAAGCTGTAGATGAAGATACTCTGCTGTCTACAACCACACATGGAGAAGTCAGCTGATTGGTCATCCACAAAGGAATAGATTTGGGATATTTGGTAGTGGCAGGGACTATGTTAGCATGAAGTTCAAAGAGCCCATATCCATCCTTATTGACTTCTCTGCACTTAGTAGGGTGGGGAAATAATCATTAGAATCAGTGATGTGATGTGTGCTAAGTCAAAAATTGGAGATTGTGGTTTCTAAGTTCTGGCCAGGGAATAAATTTTGCTCCCTGCTGGAGTGATTGTTGAATTGTGTCATCTTTATCTTTGAAAACAATGAGATTGCATGTGTAAGGCCATTTTCTTTATCAGACTATCAAAATGCCTCTGTTTTGAAGAATCTGTCCATCCATTTTTTGCTCTAATTAGCTTGGGGTGGGTCCAGCAGGTGCCTGGGGAAGGGGCCTGATGAATACTTCAAGCAGGGAGGGCTGAAAAGAAAGGAAAGTGTGTTCTTTGGAGTAGGTATGGTCAAAATCAAGGGAAATTGTCTGGAGTGTGGGAGGCTTGAGATAGCCAATATGGTCATGAGCTTATAGCCAGCTGAGAACAAGGGGTTGTAAAGGAGGATCTAGATGGGGCCCTAGGGAAACACTGAGGCCTCTGTTGAGTAATCTAGTGCTTTATCTGCTAGGATAGAGGTCAGTAGGATTTTTTGAAAAGGGCCAGATATGAAATATTTTCAGCTTTGCAGCTTTATAGACATATTTCTGTAAAAACTGTTTATCTGTTCCCCAGAGCAGCTGTATGTAGATGGTAGATGTGGCAGTTTACCAATACAACAATTTATGAATGCTGAAATATGAATTTCTTGTAATTTTTTATGTGTCCCAAAATATTATTATTATGATTTTTTTCCCAGCTGCTTAAAAATGTGAAACTATTCTCAGCTTACAAGCCTTACAAAGACAGGTGGCAAGTAGGATTTGTCCTCTGGCTAGAATTGGTTAACCCCTGTCAAAGGGGTTGGATTGGTCTGATAGAGTTTCAGGATACAGATCCATTATAAAATTTTAGAAATTATTACACAACTTGGCACAAAATCTAATACATAAAATATTATACACTAAAATGGGAGGGGGAAGGATTATATCATATTAGCAACATAAAACCAACTGAGGCTAGTCTTTGCAATATAATTGTGAAAGCAAATGCTAACATAAATTTCTTTTGTATAGTGATAATACTTCTTCATTGCACATTATAGGGTATTTAATTTCTACCTGATCCTCATAGTAGCCTTTCTGAGAAGTTGGAATGGGCATTAGCCATATTTTAGAGGATCAAACTCATGTCTACAGTGTCATTAATCCAAGGTGACAGTGCTACTCAAGGATTCATGACCAGATCATCCACTTCCAAATATTCTGTCTTTATTCCCCCATTTAGTTGGTCCTTTGGAAAAAATAAGTCCTAAAATGTCATTTGCAAGTCACTTGTTGGAACAAGAAACTTTAGAGAAAAAAAAAATGGTGATTAGGTCTTAGGTGACAGAGAACATAGCCTATATGTAGTCCTGTAGCTTCAGTGTAAGTTTCAAAGCTGTGGGCTTGCAAAGCAGGAAGAGGCAGGTTAAAAAAAAATATATATATATTTTAATATTATATATATAATATAAAAATATATATAGTTTTATATATAAATATAAATATATATATATATATATTTTCCACATTCCATGAGTGGCCCAGAAAACAAAAGGTCAGTAATGACCATCTTTGCATCCTGTTCCTTTGTCTGTGGCCATCAGCCCCCTCAAACTTGGGCCTCTTCCTCCTGTAAACTCAGGGAACTATTTTATGCAGAGGAGCATAAAATATGCCCAGCAATATGCCCTCTGGTGTCAAGAACTGTACTGAGAAGAGAAAAGGCACCAGTTAAAATTTGCTTTTGCCGCAAACTTACTTTTCATTTTTTTCTGTCTTTAACTTTTCTAAAATTTACGGCCACACATTTCCAGTTTCCCAGGTGTTCTGGCCAGCTTTCTCTCCTGGTCTTTAGGCGCCTAGGTGGAGGAGAGGGGGAATCCTGGGAACTCTGGGGTCATTGGGAACAATTAAAAGAAGTCCTTTTGGCCAACCCCAGAGATACTTTTTCATGGATTATAACTGTCAAACAGTCTTCCAATCTGAGTTATGCTGGATTATCTCTTGACTGGTGCTTGATCTTCAAAAAATAACTTAATACCTGAAGTATGACCAATGAATAGATGCTGTTTAACATGGATGCCTCTTTCCAGGTATCTGTAACTCAAGTCAGGTGAGAAGGCTCAGAAGTACTATTCCTAGTAGCTGCTGCTTTAATGTTTAGTCAGGTGGCCTAGAACACCTGGCCATATTAGGAGCCTGTGAGCTATAACTGCTCTCCAGACCCTAATGCTAGAGAGCAGCCCCTTCCCATGTAGCATGACCCTGCTTCATCCTCTCTCCTTCTAGCACATACACATCTTCATGTTGAACATTGTGTTTGTCTTGTTCCTGACTGCAGCGTCACCTTGCTCTCCTCCTGCAGTGGGGCCCAGCCCTGTGAGTGTTGCTGAAGAAAGACACCTTCCAAGGTTTGACCAAGTTGGAGGGTGGGAGCTGGGCCTGACTGCCTGGGAGCAGACCCTTTTCAGAGATGCTGAGGGCCTGTGAAGAAGGCAAGGGAGCCAGTTGCCTCTCTGCTGCCCTGCTTGCTGCTGCCAGTGAGCTCCAAGGCTCCATCAGGGCATTTTCTCTTTCCAGGTTGGAGTGGAGTACTCTGATCCCTGCATGGCTCCGACATCGGCAGTTAGGGTTGCACACGAAAGGCCAACACTTTATGCTAGAGGATTCCATCTTCTGGATCTTTGGGGGCTCCATACACTATTTCCGTGTGCCTCGGGAATACTGGAGGGATCGATTGCTCAAGATGAGAGCCTGTGGCTTGAATACCCTCACCACGTGAGTGCTGTGCCCCCTCCCCTGCCACCAAACCTGGTTACCAAATAGGGGTTCCTGGTGTCTGCAGGAGGAAAAATATAAGAGGAGGATCCAGCCTAAGCTTTCTGCTTAGGTCTATGGGGTAAGAGTCTCCCTTCTTCCTAATCTCTACAGAACTCCCTATTAATAAGCACAAAAAGTTGTGAAATGACTATAGAGTCTAGAATGACCAGGTAACAATGTTGAACAAAAGAATAGAGTGAGAAAGGTAGGTAAGTGTACATGTAGGAGGGTTTTTCTTTTTTTCGTTTTTTTTTTTCTTATGTATGTTGTGGGGCAGCTGGTGGGGGTGGGGCAGGGAGAGGGGACAGTTGAACAACTGAATTTTGTTTTATCACAATTTTGGATGCTAGAAGTCCAAGATCAAGTTGTGAACATGTTTGGCCTATCCTGTGGCCTTCTGCTTGGCTTATAGAGAGCTATCCTCTTCCTATGTCCTTGCTTGTCCTTTCCTCTCTGGATCCATGTTCTGGGTATCTCTTCCTCTTCTTATAATGACCCAATAAATAAATTTTTAACAAGCAACCTGCCCAACCTCAGTTTGTACAGCAAATGAACAGAGTCTTCTTCAGGGAACAATCTGAGAAGCAATGTTCCACATTCCTTTTTTGTCATGATCCTGATTGCTGTGGTTACCATTTCAGTACCTAGTGTGATTTTGGCACATGATGGGTATGCAATACGATGTTGAATGTGCAAATCATTTTTAAAATAGATTCATTTGTGAATAATATTGATCTTTTCATGGATTTTTTCCCCCCAATTTCCAACAGATACTTGGATGTATGTCTATATTAAAATAAAGTGGGTTATCAGGCTGGATTGTTCCATTTTTGAGAAAAAATACATTATTATAAATCAAAAAGATGGATTTTCTTTGCTGGTTTATGAACTGGCTTTGAGGAGTTATAGGAGTGTTCTGAGATGTGACTGCATTTTGAAAGAAATGTGGATAGCATCTCAGAACTCCTGAAGATTATGGGAATACTGCAGGATACAATCTACATTTGCTGAAACATGAAACTCTTGAGAATGAATTGGAAGCCATAAAGCCTCCCTTCACCTGTGAATATTCTTTGCAGTTGGAGAAGGTTCTGTTAGGCCCATGATGCCCATGATRTGGTGGTCAGGGAGGAGAGCAACTTTCTTAACTATTATAGTGCATGAGTGTTATCTCCCATCTCTTGAGTTGGCCTCCTTTAACAGCTTACTGAGTGCCATTATCTTCCCATTAGAAGCCCCATTCTATTGCAAGTTTTGGAAATATGGATGCTTTAGTAAAATAGGATTAATAACTGAAGTTTCTTTCTGCCCTACTTTTATCTCTTTTTCCAACATACTTACTTCTTTCTCACTGACAAGGGGTAGGGATGGCAAGCTGACCTGTGCTCATTGAGCCTGACTTTTTACTCTGCGTGTCTCATGCTTTACCTAAATCTTGTTGAGCTTCTTCTTTTCCTAAGGAGATGCAATGTTAGTCCCCTGGGGGTTGCCTTGCATTCTCTTCTGTCCCAGATCTGTTCAGTTAGTTCTTGGTTCTGGTCCTGAACCCATTAAGAAGCATATCTTCAGCCGTCATAAAAGAAATATATCTTCTTTTAGGGACAAGAAAGGTAATCTAGGAGGTGAAGTGGAATAATTGACAAAGTCTTGCCTATAATTGTATTTTCTATTACAGCTATGTCCCATGGAACCTCCATGAGCCAGAAAGAGGCAAATTCAACTTCTCTGGGAATCTGGACTTAGAGTATGTGGTACTGCTGCTTCTGTGACCAGGCCCAGAGTGGGTGACAGACACATGGCTGCTTAGTTTAGACTAAGAACCCTAGTGGTATCTGGGCTGTGGTTTGAGAACCAGACAGGAACCAAGATCTGGAGCCTTGTTCTGAGGATGCTCTGAGTGGCTCTGTACCCAGAACTCAGTTGTTCTCCAGCAATGATGTGTTACCCAGGGGTGCTGGGTTGCAGCCTTTGACCCAGCCTCTCTATTGCAGCCTAGAGGGGCCAAGATCCTTGGTGCTACCTGACTCTAAGTGGGATCCAGCCACCTGGCTGGGGTCAGAGATACTCTGTGAGCTCTCAGGGGTATTGCTGGGTAAGAGGCTCTGCACCCTGATGCCTTTATTCCTTATGCTGCCAGTAGGGCTGAGCTGATCCTGATTCTGGGAGCCAGTACAAATGCAGCTCCCAGGGCCACTGGCCTCTGACCAGAAGGATTCCCTTTTCTGGTAGGCTGGGCTGACCCTCTCCCCCCCCTCCCCCGCCCCCAGTCTTCCTGGTTAAGAGAAGAAAGGGAATGAGAAGCTACGTAACTCTGACACACTGTCAGGTGTGAGGCTCCCTCTTCATGCCACCTCCCTGTGGACTCTCATGAGAGGGCCTGACTTTGTTTATCTCCCCAGGGCCTTTGTCCTGATGGCTGCAGAAATTGGGCTGTGGGTGATTCTGCGTCCAGGCCCTTACATCTGCAGTGAGATTGACCTTGGAGGCTTACCCAGGTAAGCCTGGCTGAGAGAGGCCAGTGTGGCTTAAGGGATCTCTGTGCTAATACAAAATATTCAAAGAATATTGATTTAGTTTGGTTTTCAAGGTATAGTTTCTATTCTGTGCTAAATTTCCTTTTCAGAATAAGTAGCATCCAAAAGGGGTAATTTTGAATGATGTTGCAGTTATTGGCCTTGTAAAATTCCATTGGATACTGTGTTAAGTGGCAAACAGCAACAAGAGGATTGGACATTCTGTAGCTTTTTATTCTTCTGGGCCCAACTGTGAAGTTGAAACTCAGACAGATCATTTGTCTGCCCTTGGCTTAACTTTCCCTCACTACAAATGGAAAAATCAAACCTGCCCTATTTTTTAAGGATATTACCAATCATTTTTTTTTAAAGTTCAGTATTTTGGTAAAGTATAAGAGAAGCTTTTGTTTCTGTTTTGTCTTCAATTTTTCTAATGTCTGATCTTTCTAAATGTAATTTGTTGAACTACAAATCTGGGCAAGGATCAGGTGGGATCCCATTCATTTCCTTATCCTAGTCATTACTACCATTATTTTCCAGTAAAAAAAAAAAAAGATTTTCTTTGTTATAATAGGTATAATCTTTCCTAGCCTCATACTGTACCAGATGGTTAGACCCAGGCTCCCCACCCTATGCTGCCCCAAGAGAAAAGACTGATCTCATTTTCCCAGAGTCTCCCAGGGAACTTTCTTCCCACAGCACAAGCTCCAAGGCCCTGCTTTGTTTTCTCTCTTAAGTTTCCAGCTCCATCAGCCCTTCCCTTAGGGGCTCAGCCTCTTTCTGAGTTGGCATTGTGTTTGGAACAAGGCTGTGAACACAGCCAGAGTGGAGTCCCAAGTCCCTATGGATTACAGGGTCAGTGATTTCCTGGAACTCAGCTAGAGGAAGATAGGATTTAATAATCTTAGAAGCAGCAAGAAGCTCTGGACCTCAGACCTTCTGCCAGGCTCTATGTGGCACCTTTGCATTTACTAGGGTGTCCCTTGAGGCACAGCAGGGGAGGGTGAAGCCACAGTGCAAGTGATAAACTATACCTTTGATGTGATGGGGAATGTGGAGGTTAAGCACTAAGAGGCCCAGGTCTCCTCCATTAAAAAAAAAAAATTATTCTACTTTGTTATATATCACAGCAGAATGCATTACAGTTCATATTACACATATAGAGTACAATTTTTCATATCTCTGGTTGTATACAAAGCAGAGTCATACCATTCATGTCTTCTCTGACCTTGTTCAGGGCTTTGGAATCAGGACAAGGGATGCCCCAGAGCCTTTTGTTAGAAAATATGGTTTTTTTGTTTTTGTTTTTTTTTTAGAATTTCAAGTGGGAAGGAAGTACTAGAACCAAGCCATAGTGCTGTGTTTCTTTGGGGGAAATTGTCATCACAGCAGTCAGGGTAGAGAAAGAAATTGAATCTACTGCTGCTGCCACTGGCCAAGCTCTGCAGGGCTGATGTGGCTCATGCAAAGAAGTCTGTGGTCAGCAGGGACACAGCTAGACTGCAGTCACCTTTCACGGGCTGTGCTGGCTCATTTTTCTGGGTGACCCTGGAAGATTGTTACTGTGTCCTTCTCCAGCCCCAGTGATGATTCCTAACCCTTTGGCTTCACCATTTTGTTGGGGAATAGTGATGGAAATGCTTGCAACCTTGGTCTTGGGTCCCATGAAAAGCTTTTCTTACTGTGTGGCAGTGATAGGTAGAGGTCTATAGCTGGAAAGCTGGAAATGACCTTCCCCCAGAGTTGTGCTAGTGGCTAGGGAAGCAGTGGAGAGTGCAGGCTGACTCTGTTGCTTGCCCTTGAATCTGTCTGTACTTCACCTAACATCCTGGTTGAGTGGAGGTAGTGAGATAGGAATGACTCTTAGCTCATGCTGGTCTCCAGAGTCATCCCTGAGTTCTCTGGAGCTACTACCTTCTCGGCACCGTGAGCCTGCCCCAGGAAAACCCACAGATCCTGATTCTAATGATCCTGTCCTCTCCCTTTTCTTTCTAAGCTGGCTACTCCAGGACTCTGGCATGAAACTGAGAACAACTTACAAGGGCTTCACTGAGGCAGTGGACCTTTACTTTGATCACCTAATGTCCAGGGTGGTGCCCCTCCAGGTAAAACGGACTCTTTGATGTTTTACTTATCTTTCTTCTAGGTAGTAGGTAATCCAAATAAGTTCTCAGACCAAGGGGTCCACAGTCCTTTTCAACACAGGAACACACTCTTCCTGACTGCCTGAGTTTTAGAATCAGAGGGACTCGTGATAGTTATCTTTTCAAAGAGCTGTGGTGATAGTTATCTTTTCAAAGAGCTGTGTATTTCAGTGTGGTATCAGCCAAAGTTAAATGGACAGACAGGTGTCAGGACTCACATTTCTCTGTATAGTTCCAGATTCATGACTCATGATGGGTAAGTAGGATGTCTTAATAACTGAAAACACCATGTGTCAATGTCCCAATAGCACTGTGGCTCAGTTCTGCAGAGTGGACATGGTTAGGCCTTGTGTACTAAACAGATGATTTTTTTAAAATTAAATTTTAAGGACTTTTCAAGGTACTTCCCTCTGCTAACCAAAAAGGTACTGTTTGGTATGCATTTACTATTTAAACAAATATGTTAAAATGAGTCTTGGAGGGAGTATTTAATATTTTATGTAATATTTTATGTAATAATTAGAAGCAATAAAAAAGGAGAATGGGAATAATTAAAGTTGCTTAAGAAAACCATGAAGAATGGCATTAAGGAATTAGTACATCAAAATTAATGTATCAATAAAAAATTGCTCTTGAGTTAATTCTTTGGAATGTTCATAGCATACATAAATCAAAGAGAACAGCCAGCTAAAGAACAGATGTCAATTAAATATGAATTTCAGGTAAGCAAGGAATTTTTTCTTAGTGAAATATTGCCCAAATAGCATGTAAGTTTTTACATTTAGAAAACTTATTCATTGTTAATATAAAAATGTCTTCATTATGAAATGCAAATGTAACTGGGCATCTTATATTTTTATTTACTAAATTTGGCAGACCTAATCATGAAAGAAGCAAGAAGCTTGGAAGTTATTAGCCTAGATCTTTGTACGGAAGATGGAGTTACTGAGGAGATTCAGCAGGTGGTGCTGATAGGTTGGGTGGTGGAAGAGAGGTGGGAGCACTATCAAGGCCATTATGGGAACATAGTTCAGAGGCATTCTTGGTCATGGAAGTGGCATAACCGAGGGTTTTTTTTCCTGGTTATAATTATTTTATTCATTTCTTAAGGATTATATATAATATCCTAAATTTATGATATCTGATCTTAAAATGATAACAACTTAACTTTGATTACATAAAAAACTACTTCTTTATATTTCTATTTCCCTACTTAATTGATATAGCAAATTATATCTTTTTATATGTTGTACTCAATAATCTTTATTCTGGTTTTTATGTTTTAAATCTTGTAGAAAATAAAGTGTCATTGTACATTAAAATTACAATAATATTGCTTTACATTTTTTTCACATTTTTAGTTTTACTGGAGAACATTATATTTTTATACAACTTCAAGTTACAGTCTAGTATTCTTTTATTTCAATTTGTTGCATTTATCACAGAGAAAGTTCAGGGGTAATGATCTCCCTCAACTTTTCTTTGTCTGGAAATGTCTTAATTTCTCTCTCATTTTTGAAAAAGTTACCTCAAATACAAAATTTTTAGTTGAGACATTTTTTCCTTACAATGTTGAATATGTCATTCCAGATACTTTCTGGCCTTCAAGATTTCTGCTGAGATATACCTGATAGTATTACTGAGGATCCCTTCTATGTGACAAGTCACTTTTCTCTTTCTGCATTTCAAGAATCTTTGTCTTTATATTTCAACAATTTTGTTTGTTATATAAAGTGTCTCTGTGTAGGTTTCTGGGTTATCCTGTTTGGAATTTTTTGGCTTCCTGAATGTACATATTCATGTCTCTTCCCAGATTTGAGAAGTTTTCAGCCATTATTTCTTCCAAATGATCTGTTTTCAAGCTCACTTATTATTTCTATTTCCTGTGTGAATCTGCTGTTGAACTTCTCTAGTGGATTTTTTTTTGTTTATATACTGAATTCTTTCAGCACCAGAATTTCTGTTTTGTTTCTTTTTTAAAATTTCCATGTCTTCATTTATATTCTTATTTGTTTGTATGTCATTTTGTTGATTTCCTTTAATTTTTGTCTTATTTTTTCTTTTGCTCTTTAAATGTATTTTTGACAGTTATAACATTTTTGTCTAATATGTCTGGTTATGTGTATGTGTGTATGTTTTTAGAAACTATTCTGGATTTATTTTGTTCTTTTGAACAAACTATGTTTCTCTATTATTCTTTTTATAAGCCTTGTGGTTTTTTTTTTGTGAATCTTTGGGCATTTGGGGGGAAAAAACTTATCTCACCCTGTCTTTTATGCAGACCACTTAGGAAGATCTTTCTCAATTAATGGGCTTCTGAACCTAGAGATCAGGCCAGAGTAAAGACACAAGATTACAGATATTTTCTGAGAATATCTTCTGTTTGCACCTGTCTATACACTTTTTTCACATCCTGTTTGCTTTTACATATCTTCATTTCACAAAGAGTCTCATCAGAGTTTCTTGGGTGTTCTGTCATATTCTGCTGCTCATAATTTCTTGCCCACAGCCATCCACAAGTCTGTAGTCTTCTGTAGTTTCACATGCTATAATATCTCTAACTGAATTCTGAAGCTTCCAAACTTGATGTTTCCTGTTGATGTTTCAAGTCAGATGAGACAGAAACAAGTTCTCTGGGCAGCTCACAGTCAAACTAGAGAATTGCAAACAAGTGCCCTTCTGCCCCTTCCATCCTGGTGGAGGGAACTGGAAATTTGGGACACTTTATCCCAACCACACCATGTTACACTGAGGAGAGATGGGAGGGGTAGGGATGTGTAGCAAGATTTTAGTAAAAACATAAAGAAATTTCCTATCCTCTTGCATGTGATTATCTTGATTGTGTAGTCATTTTCTTGCTTTGATATTTGACTGGTTTCCAGAGCCCCTATAAGCTTATTTAGTCAGTTTGTAGTTATTTGGTGTTTCCATGGAGAACAAAGGCCTGATGCTTCCTATTCCACCATCTTGATTATAGTTTTCTCAATTACATTCCAAACCTTTGAGACTTGTTTTTGGATACATTGATAGTAATTAGAGATAAGTATGATGAATTTAGATAATATGGCTCTTACTACAAACTCAGCTTCGGATTATTTATCTCTTTTCCCCAGTATAAGCATGGAGGACCCATCATTGCTGTGCAAGTAGAGAATGAATATGGTTCCTATGACAGAGATCCTGCTTACATGCCTTACATCAGGAAGGTAAGAGTCAGCTTGGTTCATTCTTCATATTCCTTCCTCCAGAATGTCTTAAAAGTTGTGATGTATGGATCTAATATTTTCCTCATATTAATACCATGTCTCCCAACTTCATTTATCAATTAATGAATTTGTCTCCAAATTTTATTTTAACAGGGTTTTCACTTATTTTCCCTTTATTGAGTGGGATTAATTTGGGGATTGCAGTACATATGTGTGTTGCAGGAGCTAAGAATATGGAATTGATTTAATTGTGTGGCAGTGATTAGGGAAGGTTTCCTCAAGAGTCTGCCTTCATTCCAGTGCCTAAAGCCATGGCTCCGATCTTTAGCTACAGGTTGGCTTTCCCTTGAGAGTTTTTAAAAATTTGAATGCCCCAGTCATATATATAAGAATCTCTGGGGTGGTTCTCAGACGTCCAATCCCATTGTATGGGGGAGGTTGAGAACTACTGATTTAATATACAGCAAATCATGGAGGGAAAGGACTAAGGTAACATATAAAAGAATAGGCTAATATTAAAATCTGGTTTCTGTCAAATTGTAGCTGAGACCTTGAACAAATGCCTTCATTTTTCTAAACCTCTTATTTTTCTTCTATACAATAGGATTACAAAGAGTCTCTGCCTCTTAACTGTATTATGTGAGATCATACAGATCAACGCTATTCTAGACAAATAGTAAATTTTTCAGTAAATAAGACTTTGATGGAATCTTTGGCATTTGTTTCAGAGTACTTTGAAGGGTCAGCCGTGGTGTGACTTGAAATGATAAATGGCCTCTGTGAATGCATCTAATTGGAAGCTGGATGGCTTTGGATTTTGATGGCCTGTGCAGTATCTCTTCTGCTGTCACACACAGATTCATTTTTTTATCTGGGTCCTCTGTAGAGTGGGGACCAAGGCTCAAGCACTTCAGCTTGTAGATTCTTACAGACTTTCACTTCTTGTGTGCAGAAAGCTGTCTTAGTAGAGTCTAAGCCTGTGTTCAGGAATGGTGACATTCCTTAAGCTGGAAAGGGGCAAGTTCAGACCTGATAGTCAAGGCCAACCACAGCCTGAAATAGAGTCACATCTAGCTTCCTTTTCACCTTTGAATTACCTAGAATAATCCTACTGCAAACACAGGACTTGAGAGCTTCGTCTTCTATACCTTATTCCCTCAGACTATCTCTTATAACCTGTGGCTTCTCCAGTAATTTTTTACTTGATTCAGCTGCAGAGAAGGAATGTTTCATGAGCTGCAAGAGATGAGAATATAGCTTTCTCAGAAACCTCTCCTGTTCATTCATGCTTTACTGGTGCATGGCACCCAGCCTCTTGTCATCCTAAAGCTCTTAGGAAAATCCCCTTATGAACTGCCATGCAACTTTCCCTGGGGGGGCAGTGTGGGAGGCAGTAGCTGAGTTGTGGACATTGCCAGCATCGCTTGACGGTGGGCAAGACCCCTTTCTCCTTTCTGAGTCTTAGTTTCATCATGTGCAAAATGGAGACATGAATGGCTGTTGTGTGGGGCCTCTGATCCAGGAAACAGACTTGGGCTTCGGCAGGTGGAAGATCCAAGACATAGTTAGGATAGTAGACATGCTTTATTCAGTGGTGGCCACAGCCATTAGCCAGCCCCCAGCCTCAGCTTCAGCCCCCAGCCAGTTCCATTTTAGCTCCTTCCTTCTTAGTCATATATAGTTAAGTTATATATACTTATATATAGTTAAGATATTAATTCTGAAGGATCTTTTGATATGCAGGCCAAACAAAGAAGGCACAATGCCAACAAATTATATATAAAGGGAGGGCATATGCTCATACTTAATATTTATGACCTTGAATCTATATGCTGAATCACAGTGTTTCTGGCCTTGACTAATCATAATGTAGCCAGGTGCCAGCCCTGGCTACATACTAAAAACATAACATAGCCCGCCAGAAGTCTCGGTGAGGGAGTTTAACTATAGCCATTTTGGGGCCTGGCTTTTTCTAAGGCTGAGTCGTTTCTCTAAGAATATGAGATAAGACACAAAGCACTTAACTGTGCATGGCCTGTGACTGGTGTCAGGAAATTGATAATCATCTTTTACCGGGTAGAGTCAATGAATTAATGACCATGAAAATTTAAGCATGTGCATATTGTAGGACTTTAAGTAAATGTTTGTTATATATAGTGAATGACTGGGTGGATAGTTCAAGGGGGTTGATCCAGAGTTGCTGATAAAGATCTTATCTGGCTTCATGGATTGAACTCTTCAGCATCTGTCATCCCTGGGAACTATAACCCCATTCTGCTCTTTTCTTATCAACCTATGGGATTTGTTCTTGGAGGTCAGATCCACTTTATTCACTGACTAGATAATCTCTCTGCCTCCCCTATTTCCAAAAAAATTCAGTTGAAATATGCAGTCTTATTTTCATAATATCTGCAGTGAAAATGATAGGAAGATCACCTTTGCAGTGGTTTCTGTTCCCAGTGAACCCAGAGTCCTAGAAGAGAACCTTTGAAAGTGGGCAGATTCTGGGTTTAGCACATACTCTCTCATCATACTTTATTCAGCCTTACTGAAGCTCTTGGTCTCTACTGTTAAGATATTAATTCTGAAGATGCAATGGGACAGTCTACAAAGTGCTTATCAGAAGGCCTGGTGTGATAGTAAATACTGTATAAATGTTAGCTATTATCTGGTAGTAACAATCCTTATTGCCCCTCAACTATAGCTTCTTCCTTTTACTTATTCATTCTCTGGTTTACAAACTCCAGGAGTGCTTTCTGCTCTGCTCAGTCTGGGTAGTGCACCATAGTCACATCACTGAGGCACTGCTGGGCATCATGCTCTTGCTTTTGATCACACTCACACTGGCTCAATGTGGGGAAAAGACAGTGATCTTGTTCATAGTGTGGGTGAAGTGAAAGATGTGGTGCTGTCCTGGAGGTCTGATCTACTTGCTGGAGCCCAGCAGACTCCTGAGCCATAGCTGGCCACTGAGAGGTCCATCTGAGAACAACAAATTGACCAGACCTTCAGAAACATCCATGGGCTGCCAAAGATCAACAGCCCTGTCCTCTGCTACAACTAGAAATCAAGTTTATTGGAGTTTGCTGAATCTGACAGGTGCAGACAAAATGGGCTTTCCTCTGTTTTCTGTAGATATATGCTTCCTTTTATTTTTTTCCTCTTGCTCTTCAGGCTACCTCATTCTCAGCAGTATTACACTGCAGAAGCTTTGGAGAATGGGGATAGACTTTGATTTTTTCCTTTATTCCCAACAGGCCTTAGAGGACCGTGGTATCATAGAACTGCTCTTGACTTCAGACAACAAGGATGGCCTAAAGAAGGGAATGGTCCATGGAGGTACTTGCAAGGAGCCTGTGTGAGGGGCCCTACGATTCATATTCGTCCAGGCAGGACTGAGGCACAAGCAGGAGTCTTTCTCATTTGTTCCGCATGGCACCAGCCTGGGAGTTCTGAGCTGCAGTAGGTGGCAGGCCCATGTCAGAGATAGATATACCATGACCAGCTCTATGTCTGGTCTACTGTTCCTGCTGTACTCTCTGGTCAGTAAAAGCTTTTGGTAGATGCTTCCCCACATGAAGGCTTCCTTTAATTAGAAAATTGCAGCTCCATTTTCCCTCTATTGCACATGCCCCAAACCTTGTCCTCATTCTTAGCTTCTCTCCTGTATGCCTGATACACAAGCCATGGGCACATTCTTTTTATTTTTAGCTTTATCTTCAAAATACCTAAAGAATCCAAACATGTTTTACTCTCTCAGCTGTCACCATCATTTCTTATGTGCATTACTGCAATAGCATTTTGACTGACCTCCCTTTTTCCCCGCCTGACTTCTCCAGCAACATTTTCTCAACGTAGCAGCCAACATTTTCAACATTTCCTCAACATAGTAGTGTGCCTTATAAATATAACCCAGGTTACCTTACTGTTCTGCTTATGCTCTAGGTGCCCCAGAGGAAAGCCCAAGTTTTGAGACTGACCTTGTAGGACTTTCCAACACAGCCTGCAGGACTGGCTGACCTTATCCTCTGCTGAGCTCCCCTCACCCACTTTGGCCTTATTGCTCTTCCTCAAACACACCGGACATGCCAATCTCAAAGACTTCATATATCTGTCAGAGACCTGTATGGCTATTCTCCAGGGTCACCTTTGCAGCAAGTACCTTAGTACCTGGTGGAAATTGCACCTCCTCCCAAGGATCACCCATTCCTCTCCCTTGCTCTATTTTGTCTTCTAACATTAGGGGAAATCTCTGTTTCACCACAGCACTAAGCTCTGTAGAGGTTGGGTTTTTTGTGTCTTATTCCAGCTGTGCTTTCCTGTCCAGATATGGTGTATCTCTCCTTTCAGATGTAGTGGGACTCTTTTTCTAGGCTCCTACAACTGTGCTTGCCTTTGCTATTATACTTGTACTCCACTTTGTTTCTTTTGCATTTCCTTCCATAGGGCTGATCTGTAGGTAGGGAATTTTATCTTTAATATCACCCAACAGAACCAGGAAGGTCGTGAGCTCAGGGAATTACTGCTTGGGTGCATGGAGAGGATAGTGAGTGAACAGGATCCTGAGCCTTGGGGGTGTGACCAGGGCCAGTAGCGATTCCCATTGTTTCCACGAGGTGATGCTGTCTCCTCATGGCTGCTACAAGGATGTCCAGAGCTTTTTGTGACCCAATCACCATCCTTGGGAGGAGCTCTGGTTCCTCTGATGCTAGCGTACATTTTTAGTGCTGGTTAGTCTACTAATTAAAGGCCTTGGGAAGAAGATAGGGAGTCACTGATCTTTCCATTTCCTCCCCTCCTCTGTAGGCTCCACCCGTCAATCCCCTAGTGACTCCTGCTACTGGGAAAGATGCTTTTTAGTTTACAAAATGAATTAAAGCAATTCATTCACACAGGCTAAAAGTAAAAACAATAGAAAATATTTATCTAAAAATACAGCATTGCCTGCCTTTCCATCCTGTTCCCCAGAATGACCATTTAAATTCTTAAGTTTTTTCTTCCTGTACTTTTCTTACTGTATCTAAATAACGTGTATATAGAACTCTACATTAATTGATTTAAGATTCTCTTACTTCAACTGGCTTTTCAATGTGCTTAGTTTTCACTTGCAAGGTAGTAGTTTCTTATTTATTTGTCTTTTCATTTCAATTTTTCTCTTTTATTCCTTCTGCCATTCCCAACCTTTGCACCCTTTTTATTTTTTTTAACACAGTCTTTTCTAAAATCTTCTAGACACCCATCATTGGTATTTTTCAAATGCCTGTGCATATCAGATCCCACATCAGGTCCTATCTGGCTATCTGGAGGTCTGGTTTCTGATCTGCTGGTGACCTACCATACAGTTTTCATCCTGAGACTGACTTGTGTGTTTCTCTTGTATTGGATCCCGCTTACTGGAATTCTGGACATTGTTCTATCATTTTCTAGCAACCACTGCTGCATTGAAGCCCAGAGACATTCTGGCTAATAATCTTTTAGTATATCCTATTTTCTCTCTCACCCTCATTTGTAAGACATTTTAGAATTTTCTTTTTATTCTTGATATTCTGTTTTTTTTCATAATGATGCGCTTTGTTATGATACTTCTTATTTTTGTGGCATTTTGGAGATGTATTTGAATTAGCATAGTTATGTCCATTGAGGATGGGACATTCATTTGGGCCTTGGGTTTCTTTCATAATGCTTTATCATCTTTTTTCCTGATCTTTTGTTCATTCCTGTTATTTGTATATGAACTCTCATTTTGATTCTCTCTGTCTTTGGTTTTTCCATTTCTCGTCTCTTTATTTAGTTCTACTTCTTTCTGCTTATAGGTATTTCCTCAACTTTTTTTTTCTAATCCTTCTATTACTTCCTAGATCATATTTTTTCTTAAATAAGTTTCTTTTCTCTTAGCATACTTTAAAAATGTGTACTGTCTTTCTTAACTCTTTCTGAGAATATTTTCATCTTTTTTATTTTTAACATTTTATTTGTTCCTTTCATTGGTTCTGCTTACCTGGTTTTTCTTTTTTTCTGCTCTGCCCAGTCTTCCAGGTGAGGGGATATTCTCAATTGTCTGGCTCTTACAAAGCAGTAAAAAAGAAAAAAAAAAAGGGCACTAAACAGCCTTTTGGAGCTCAGAGGGTGGGGTAAGACTACAGAAAGGCATCCTTCCCTGTAGTCCATTATGGGGCTATAGTGGTCTGGTCAAAATGGCCTGTTTATGGCCCTTCTTTTGTACCCTTGGTATTTCTACAGAGCAGTATTTGGTCTTCTCTCCCACCTCTCACTCCACACTCCTTGAGAACAATTTTCTAAGAGTACACGAACCCCACTGAGCCAATGGGCATGGGTGCTGAAGAAACTCAAGGACCTGGACATGATGTTGCAATGTTGCAGACGGGTATTCTCCCCCTGCATGGAGCACAAAGCTTGGGGCTCAGTGGGGTGAGGCCTGAGGAGGTGGTGGAAACTCCTTTCACTCTCTTGGGCCATTTACTATTCCTCTGTCCTTTTTCAGTTTTCCAAGATTTTCTTGGCACTTTTTATCTACTAATATTTCTGCATTTTTTTTTAAGTCCTGGGGATTGATGGGGATTGAACTAGGGGTTCTCTAACACCAAGCTATACCTCCAAGTCCTTTTTACATTTTTATTGTTTCGAGGCACAGTGGTGCACATCTGTATATAATTCCAGTGACTCCATAGGCTGAGGCAGGAGGATCGCTAGTTTGAGGCCAGCCTTGGCAACTTAACTTTGCCAGCTTGTGCTGAGTGGAGGAACTTTCAAGATAAAAGAGCTAGGTCTCCTGCCATCAGAGGTGGGAAACAATGTCAAGACTAGTTAATTTATTGTGCTGGTAGATGAAGAAGGGTCTGAGGTACTTCAGAAAGTCTTCCTGACTTTAAGAATGTTTTCTCTCTCGTCTTTTGTCTTCATAGTACTGGCCACCATCAACTTACAGACACGAGAGGAGCTGCAGTTAATGAACACTTTTCTCGTGAGTGTCCAGGTAAGGCTGGCACAGGGAGAGCTGTATAGATTGTTCAGCAAGTTCAGAGATTCTATGCCTGCCACTTTGCTCTCCCAGTGGGGGAGAAGGATCTGGGCTTTCTCAGTCTTTCAGCTCATGGTTCTGTTGCTGCACACCTCAAGGGAAGCAGCTCATAAACTACTCCAAAGGATTGCTGTGCAGGTGGATAAAGCATGAGTGAGATCTGCTACCTTTTGAGAAAGGGACCTTTGTGTAGTCCTTGAATTTGTGGACTCTGCGAGCCCCAGACTGCTCCAGATTAAGGGGGAAGAAAACTCTTCCCTGTGCTGTACCATATGAGGTATCTGACCTTAACCTAGAAAGATTATTATCATTTGCAAGGCAAGAAGCCTGATCCATTCCAGGTAAGGAGGAGAGAGAAGAGTTCCTATCTGTATCCGAGCATCGTCAGATTGATGGTCATGTACAACTCAATTTGCTACAATTGATCTCTTGGGTTTGTATCTCCCCTAAGGAGATTGATGTGATCTGGTCCAAACTGCGGCCTGTCCCCAGAATTGAGAAGCTGCTTCTTTCACTCTGACTTATTAGAAGTTGTGAATACCCCCATCTGTTGCATATTCACATTGATCCCCAGATAATAGTGGAGCTATTAGAATGTCTGTATCAACACTGGGGAGATGCAAAGTTTTTTCAGTTCCAGCTATTCAAGCATGGTGCTGGCAGAATGAGGCCCTGTAGGATGAGGGCCATATGTATGTGTGTGTGGTACGGCTACTCCTGGAGCATAAATAATAGCCAGATTGGGTGGAAAGGTTCCTTGGAGGAGATAGATAGGGCCTAACCCAAGGTGGACTTCTGTTGGAAGAGATAATGGATACAGATGGATTGAGGTTGAATTCCTTTCTCCTCTAGTATTTCCTGAGTGCCAGCTCTGTGCTTGGAATGTTGTTAGAATCTATTACATTCTATGACAGACAACAGGGTCTGTTCTCATGGAGTTTGTACTTGGGAGGAGAGAGACATATGGAATATGCAATCTCATGATGACTAAATAGAAGTGTTCTTGAGTGCATTATACTGTGAACTACCCCCACATCCATTTGGCCGCTCTAATATGTGACCATGGGCAAGTCACTTAACTTCTATGTTTCTCTTTCTTCTTTGGTTAAGTAGGGTTAATGAGAGTCTCAACTCATAGAATTGTTTGTGGATTCAGTGAGATTTTTTTTTTAAGTACCTCATGGCAGCTGATAGAAGTATGCACCTTCTGCTGGTCATCCTGGAAAGGTAGCCATGCCTGTGCCATCCATGCCAAGTTGCCCTGTCAACAGAATGGCACTGCTAATGGACTTTCTTCTGTACAGTTAAAGAATGTTTGCTTTCCTTAAGGAAGTAGCCTTGGGTATTTTCTTGTTTAAGTCAAGGGCTCACTTGAATGAACACTATAAGCCCCAGCTCTGGCTAACTGGGGCATACAGTAGCACTTCACTCATCCTTATGTTCATGCCCAATGATGAAGGTATTTGAAATGTTTATTTAGCACTTCCTGTATGCCAGGCACTATGTACTAAGGGATTTATGTGTGCTGTCTCTTTCAGCTCTCCCACTAGTCATAGGCACTAGTTACTGTTATTACTGTTTCACGGTTAAGAGATAGACCTGGAATGGATAAAATACCCATTAAGTGATGGGTTAGGAGTTATAGGTCTGATGAAGATCTCCAGGTCTTCATGTTTACAGTGCAGTGACCTGGGTCATGATGGAACCCTCCTTCCTTGCTCCTGGCACTTGTGAATCAAGGAGTCTACACTTGGCATTGGAGAATCCTGAGATGTGGGACTTAGTATCTGCTTATTCCTTTTGGGTGACTTAAATATAGTACAGTATATGTTCTCTCTCTCTCTCTCTCTCTCTCTCTCTCTCTCTCTCTCTCTCTCTCTCTCTCTTTCTCAAAATATGTTTAGTTGTCAATGGATCTTTATTTATTTATATACGATGCTTAGGATTGAACCTAGAGCCTCACACATGCCAGGCAAACGCTCCACCACTGAGCCACAACTCCAGCCCCCAGTATATGTTCTTTTTTGGGGAGGTAGATGACTTGTGCCATCCATGCCAAGTCACCAATCTTGCTTTTAAAAATGAATAAATAAATATTGTTACTACTTTGGCTTTTATCTGGGAATGGCTGTTATGCTATATACAGTGGATTATAAGTTTGCTTTATCACTCTGCATCAGATTTCATTGCTCTAACTGACAGAGGGGATATTTGATCAATTGTCACTGAAGGAGTAATGAGGACTCCTTAGTACAGAGCCTGAAATTCTTGCAAATCAGTCCTTATATTTCCCCTGGTCCTGCAAATGATCTCTGCATGCTTGAAGCAGTCATGCATCCAAATCAGTATTCTAAAATAATATTTAAGACTTGCTGAATGTCCCACCCAAAGTATGAATATACTCCGTGACTTGAACTATGACTAGCTATGCTGTAAGGCTCTGTTTTTCTGATCTAGTTTTGCCAGCTACTGTTTAAACTAAGCTAAGCCTTAAAAAAATGCCCACACTGCAGCTGCCTGAATCTCCTGGCTAAAAAGAAGCAGCAACTCAGAGGGGTCTGGATCTATGGTACCTCTCAGGTATGAAGTCATAATGGATACAACATTCTCCTTTCCTGGAAGGGGATAAGGCAAAGGTTGGCATGATCCAGAAAGCAACCGAAGCTAGGAAAAGTCTTTCAAAACAGATGCTGAATGCTAGTGAGACCTAATTTTAATACATTAGCATCCACTGTAAGCATTATTAAAAGCATATTAAGCATCAGAATGTACTATGTCAACTTTGGTTGTCTATTCCACTCTACACCTCGAGGTGTGGAGGCCAAACATGGTGGGTGAACCATCCTCGTCTGTGCTCTGCTCCCACTGGCATCTCAGGCAAGGGGTGTAAAGCCAGGGAAGAGGTGGGAGAAGAGAGGTCCTGGGCTCCCCTCCAGGAATGATGTTTCTCTTTTCCCTTTGGCCAGCTTGCCTGTCTAACTCTCATTTTGTGGTACCCAGGGGATTCAGCCTAAGATGGTGATGGAGTACTGGACAGGGTGGTTTGACTCATGGGGAGGCCCACACAATATCCTGGATTCCTCTGGTGAGTACTTGGCATTGGCTATGTCCAGCATGTTTGTTAACCTAAGAAGGAAGAATGAGTTTTAAATAATCTGCTAGTTGATATATGGAGCTGTAGTGTGCAAGACTTCTAGGATCATTTGTGTTAATAGTCAGCTATTGGTATTTCAGAGTCATTTGTTTGACATTTGAAATAAACAGTAGGACTTTCCACATTGCTTTTGTATGTTTTATGTTTTTGTAATTAGAAAAATAATGCATACCTATTTCAAACACAGAAACTATAGAAAAGTATAAAGAAGTAAAAATCTCAGAGCCCAGAGAAAACATTGCAGTTGTTTTTTAGTTGATTAGCGTTTAGACAGTGTAGTCAGATCCTGATGACCCTGTCACCTACTTATGCCAGTTAATGACACAAATTGACAGCTTTCTATAATATTGTACATAGATTTATATCACCAGCTTAAAGAATGAAAAGAACCTCTTTGGATTAATAACTGTACAACCATTTATTGACTTAGTCTCTTATTGATACATGCTTAGGTTGTTTTCAGTGGCTTTGGTTAATTGAACACCATATCACTGATCATCCTTGAACGTTCAGTTTTGTATACTTGGTATATTATTTTTTTATGGATAATCAATAGAATTATTATATTAATGCAATTTTAATGTGTATTTGTCAAAATGACCTCCAGAAAGATAGTAGCAGTTTTTACTCACCATTATTAATTGATAGTACTTATATCCTACAGATTCATCAACATCCAGTATTAAAATAATTTTTAATATTTACCAGTCTGACAGGTTATTGTTTAGTTTGCATTTCTTTGATTTATATTAATAAAATACATACTAACCATTTATTTTTTTCTTCAATATTATCTCTGTATGTCACTGGTTCATTTCTTAATTAAGGTAGGACTGTGGGAGGCAGTCAGAATGGTATCTCTGATAATAAGCACTATCTTTTTGCATTTTTACCAAAAGAATAACTTCTGGGACTCACACTGGCTGGCAGGGGATGCAGGCCTGTGTTGTAGGTTGTTCTTATGGTGGTTAATAGACTCAACTAGAATTTAAATGCAACTAGAGGCCCAAGCTCCAGACCATGAATTCAGGCCCACTTCTCTTCCTTGTTTCCTAATCTTCTGTAGTTGGAGCATTAAAACTGAAGGGCAGAGAGATGAAGTGGACCTTGAGGAGGCTTAGGAATAAGAGTATCAAAGGGAGTAGTTAGGACTTGTCTTAGACTCTCACACATCCCTCCTTCTCCCTCCTTTTGTAGAAGTTCTGGAAACAGTGACCTCCATCGTGGATGCTGGCTCATCCGTCAACCTCTACATGTTCCATGGAGGCACCAATTTTGGCTTTATAAATGGAGCCATGCATTTTCATGAATATAAGTCTGATGTCACTAGCTATGGCAAGTATTCTCTAATACTGGTTCTTCCCAGTATCTTCAGGGCTGGGGCTTTTTAGAGAGTCCTTTAGGGACAATATCTGGCACCTTTAATGATTTTGATTATAAAGTGCTTGGGGAAGGTAGAGGCATAGTTCGAATTGTCACTTTTAAAGTTCCAGAGCAGCACTAGACTCAAGATGCTTGGTGCTTGTGAGCCAGTTACTCTGTGAGACAGCTCTTTGGAGGAAGTGTACTAGAGAAAGGGAAGGGAAGGGTCTGTGGTGGTGGGCAGCTTCTCCTCACTGCTCAGGCTTTTGAGAATGTGTGGCTGAAGTATCCCCCCCCCTTCAGATTGAGAGTCCCCAAAGGGTAGGAAAGATGCCTCATTTTATCTACCTGCAATTAGAAATTTAGGTTCATGTTGTGATTATGGGTAACTTTTGTATTATTTTATAGGGTCTAGAATTTATAGTATTTTGACTGAGTGGTTCATACTATTGGTGATTTACCTTCAAAATGGCTGGGCCAAGAAGCCTACTACCCTACCCCAGCTTCTCTCTTCTTTGCTGCTGTGTTTATTATTCCAGGGATAGGAATGACTATGACCAGTTCATGGATATCTTTCAGACTATGATGCTGTGCTGACAGAAGCTGGAGATTATACAGCCAAATATTCAAAGCTTCGAGAATTTTTCGGCTCCTTCTCAGGTACCAGCTAGCAGTTTAATACCAGCAAGAAGAGGAATGAAGCTCCCACTTGGCAAATTGCTCTTTTTCTCAGCCCTTTAAAGAGTTACCTTCTCATAATCTCATCTCAATCCTAGTTGACCTGTATGCAGGAACATTCTAGACAAGGAGGATTTGAGAGGCTGTTTTCATATAGTGTGCATCTTGCCAGTTTCACCTTTCTATTATAGAGGCATTAAGACTCCTTATCTCCTATGGAAGACGTGAGAAAGCCCCACACTTCCCCTAGGCATTGTCTCCTAGAACCATCTAAGCATATGCTGAAATTAGTCTGTTGTTACTACTGGTACCAGGATAAAGGAGCATATGGAACACATGGATAAAAGATTGTTGGATGCAGTGACATTTGGGTCCTTTAGGGATGTCTGTGTTGTCTGTCTGTTGTAGATGCCCCTCTACCTCCCCCTCCTAAACCTCTTCCCAAGATGACCTATGAGCCATTGATACCGGTTGTCTACCTATCACTGTGGGATGTCCTCAGTTTCATAGGGGAGGTGAGTACTGTGGGCCAGGGAAGCAAGGACAGTCATTGGGAGGGTGAGCAGGGCCCAGAAACTCTCCAAATGGATTGGGAGGTGCTGGGAAGAGCAAGGCCAATTCTAGAAGGCTTAGAGATCTCCTTTCCAACTTAAGAACTGAGTGAAGAAAACAAACTGGTGCTAGAGTGTGCAGTGGGAAGGAACAAGAGAAATCGAAAACAATGGGAGTCTTCCTCCAGCTTGGAGCTAGAGCTATATTTCTCTAGGGGCAGAAGCGGGGGAAGAGGCAGAGGAATGCACTGAATCCTCCTCTGTGAAGAGGGGGCACCTCCTGCAGCTCACTAAGGGATGTTGTAATGCAAAAATGACAGTGTCTTAAGGAGTTAGATATCTACTAGATTGCAAAGCTTTCTTCTCTCATGGAATTCCCCTTTCCTTGTTTTCTCATCCCTATAACTCTGGAGAGCCATAGGTTTAATGCAGTAAGTCATAATAGTAAAAGGAGGTTAGAGCTCCTCTTACAGCTTCTCCTCCAGTGTGCTCCCTTCCAGGCCAGACCTGTTTGCTACTTCATGTGCCAGTGGTTCAGGGCAAGGCAGCAAGCCTGGCCCCTATGCTTTTCTGCTATCTTCTATTGCAGCCAATCAAGTCTGAAAAGCCCATCAACATGGAGAACCTGCCAGTAAATGAAGGGAATGGACAGGCCTTTGGGTACATTCTGTATGAGACCATCATCACCTCATCTGGCACCCTTAGTGGTGTTGTACGTGATCGGGGACAGGTAGGAGCATCTCTTCTTGATTCCTGGACCTTTTAGTGACCAGCCTCTGCATTATACATCTTATTCTCTCTGCCCTCAGAATCAACTATTGCCAGTATGTAAAGTTGCCCATCCCTGTCATCTCGGTGACACTTTCCAGCTGTGACCATGTACATTTCTTCCTCCATACCTGGCTAAGCCTCCTCCTAAGCATGCACACACATGGTATAACCTATTTGTTTCATCCTCCATCCTGTTGACCATGGATGCTTTCCATCTTCTCTTTGGCAGGTATTTTTGGACACAGTATCCATAGGATTCATGGACTATAAAACAACGAAGATTGTTATCCCCTTGATTCAGGTTTGTTATCCTAGGGAGCAGGGTGATGGCTAGCCCCAGCTGCTTCCAAGGAAGTTTGGTGGGAGTCAAAGAGGAAGGCCTGGAAGACAGGAGCCTCCTAACCACAAGCTGTGGATGGAGAGGAACGAGCATGCTTTCTTACCAGCGGGGCTCTTACTCCCATCCTCAGAGCATAGGGAAGAACTGGGGTCCACAAACCAACTCCCAGGTACAGCAGTGACCTCATAGTTGGGTATCAGGCGATCATCAGCCACTATGTTCCTGGCAGGGTTACACCTTTCTGAGGATCTTGGTGGAGAATCGTGGGCGAGTCAACTACGGGAATAATATTGATGATCAGCGCAAAGGTAGGTCCTAGCACAAGTGAGAAGAGGTGCCACTGCTTCTCAGACAGGGTTTCCCCCTTTCCATGTAGCACATCAACAGGCCATAGAGGTCCATCACAGGGAGATGGGCCATGGAGGCACACTGCAGGGAGGTGAGCCAGGGAGGCACATTGTAAGGAAGTGGGCCAGGGAGGCACAGTACAGGGAAATGGGTCTTGGAAGCCCACTGGAGGGAAGTGGATCATGAAGGCACACTGCAGGAGGTGGAAGCTGAGTTGACCTATATGTGAGACAAGGCAAGTGGGTCAGAAAAGCCTAGCTGACCTTTTCCCCTATAACACCCCATGCTTGTATTTTCTGTGTGCTCATGAGGAAACCCCATGAACAGTGAGCTAACCTTAGTCCCTCTCTGGGCTGAAGTCTGCTTTTTTGGGTAGTGGGTAAGGATCAAGGAAAGAGATTTCTAGAAATCCAAAGGAGGTTATAGCACCAGTGCCTTCTTAGGTCTCCACACTGAAATTCTTTTCTTCATCCATTTCAGGGAAATCCATAAATCATTTTTCAGTGGTGAGGAGGAGGAAGCAGGATATAGAATAAACCAAATGCCTTTTGTCCACATGCTCTTCCAGGAATATCCCACCAATTCACTCTCTTTTTCTGGCCTTCTAATCTTTTATGCCTTAATTTAGATCTTTCTTTCTTTTATCTGTCTGTCTAAATGTTGGTGTTTTAAGTAAGTTATAGAAAAAAGAAAAGAACTCAGATGAAATAAATCCTGCTGTGTTGAGGAGGACTGATGACCTTCCAATTCTGTCACAACCGTTTGTATTTGTAGTGGAGGAAATTTGCGCATCTCTCCCTTGGTCAGATTTTCAGCAGAGAGCCTTCTGGTAGCCTGCCAAGGATATAATGTGATGAGACATTGGGGCTTCTCCTCTGGAAGGGCCTCAGAATAGGTTCTAGCACTATCCAGGCCCACTTTGCCTTCCTTTTCCTGAAATAGTTCCCCAACATTCCTCTCGGTGCCTTTTCTGGCATTTCATCTCTGGGCACATGGTACTTCCTTTGTTCTCCTAGGGGTTGGAAGGACCTTCCACTCTGACCCTTGTTGCCAGTCTTTGCTTCTCCAAGACGCTAATCAAGTGTGTCCTGACCCTCATTGTGGAGTTCTAGCCTCTGGACCATATACAATATTTATAAGTCACAGACTTCCACTCTAGAAATGTGTGGGCGGGCGCGCACCCTCTCTCTCTCTCTCTCTCTCTCTCTCTCCCTCCCCCCTTTGTGGGCCATTTAAGAGTATCTGCAGTCCCTGTGAAGCCTATTTACCTTTTCCAGATTCTCAAAATTCCTAGCCTAGCAGCTCAGCAGCTCCACTATCCAGAGTCCTTGGGGGCTGCTGCACAATCTATAGAGCTGACCCAAACCCCAAGGTGCTGATCCGTAACTATTTGGGTGTATACAGTTCTTCAGTATTGGATACCCAAATGATATTGCCATTTTCTCACAATTTCAAGAAAAACCTGTCTTTAGTTCAAGGTTGTGTAGAAAATTTCTGACTAAATTGTTAGGTTTGTTAGTCTGAGATCCTATTTGACACTACCTTAAAGCTAGGCCCAAACCTTTGGCACCTCTTGTTCATGTAGAGTTTCTCTCAGAGAGAGGTCAGAGTTTGTTTTCACCCCTGTGAGAGCTCAGCTTTGTCACTATCATCAGATGTATTATTCTTCCATGGTAAATTCTAGGACCTGGCATATAATATTCTTGTTTATTATTATGTCCCTTGGCATCTCTGGCGGGGGCGAGGTGGGGGGCTTATACTACAATTGCTGAGCTCCTTAGGTAGTATATGTTTCAGGAGAAATCTTCCTTGCTTTGAGCTCCCTCTTCCTGGAAAAAAATCTTCCTGGAACAATCTTTCTAGAAACTTTCCATGCATGGCCCTGGTCATAGCTAGGTCCTCTTCCTTTGGACTTGCTCATGTTTCTTTGCCTCCTTCCCACAGGCATAATTGGAAATCTCTATCTGAATGATTCTCCCTTGAAAAAATTCAGAATCTACAGCTTAGACATGAAAAAGAGCTTCTTTCAGAGGTAGGTCCTTGGCCCCACACCAGTTGTGTGAGCTCATAATAATTTGCAGCAAGAGCGAGCACAGCCCTATCCTCACCCCACCAGGATCCTGCAGATTCTAAGACTCAGAGGCCAAGGTGGCTTGTCCAAGGTAAGGGACAGTACCACCATTAGAACCTGCATTTGCAGACTAGGAGAATGCTCATTATACTACCTTGCTGCCCTTCTTGTGTTTTGGTTAAGAAGTAGGGAACTTGGGAGCTTTAAACAAAGAAGGGACATGTCTTAGGAATTAGGTACAGAACTGAACAGATCTAAGAAAGTCCCCTTTCTCCCTTTCCTGCCCTGTTCTATCCTTAGGTTCAGCATTGACAAATGGACTCATATCCCTGATGTACCTACATTCCCTGCTTTCTTCTTCTGTGGCTTTGTAATTGGCTCTTCCCCTTCTGACACATTTCTGAAACTGGAGGTTTGTAAGCCCCCTTTACCTTTCCGCGATTCTTTCTTCTGTTTTCTCAGAGGGCTGATTCAAATACCATTGCACTTGGCCTTGATGGAGTACTATATAACACCTGCCTTCCAGGGCAGCAGAGGGAGCTCAAAGCAGAACCACCTGATGACACTTATCAGGGCCCATTTTCCTAATCCAGCCTGGGATTGTGTGTTCTGCCTAGAAGGCTCAGAGCTAGTGGAGATGAGGTGGAACAGGCCACCTGTTAGTCTCCGTGGCTGTTGAACATTGGCTTACTTTGGTCTTTTGGAAACTGAGTGAAGAACACATCTTTTTTGGCAGTGGGTGAGTATCAGGGATTGAGCTCAGGGGCACTCGACCACTGAGCCACAACCCTAGCCCTATTTTTGTATTTTCTTTTAGAGACAGGGTATCACAGAGTTGCTTAGCACCTCACTTTTGCTGAGGCTGGCTTTGAACTCGCGATCCTCCTGCCTTAGCCTCCCAAGCCACTGGGATTACAAGCCTGCACCACTGTGCCCTGCGTGAAGAACACATCTGATGTGTCTTCTCTGCCTTCTAGTGTGACTTTGTCATCAGTGGCTCTCATAGTAGACTAACACACTCTCTACTCTGTTTGAAGGGCTGGGAGAAGGGAGTTATATTCGTCAATGGCCAAAACCTTGGACGTTACTGGAACATTGGACCCCAGGAGACCCTCTACCTACCAGGTCCTTGGCTGTTCAGAGGAAACAACCAGGTGGGCACACTTCCAGCCTCCTCCTGTTTTACTCATAACTTCCTTCCCATCCTTGCACCTGGCATCAGATTGCCTCCCTGGGAGCCCTTTGGGAGAGGGCAGAAGTTTCAGCTAGCCTATTCCTTCCAGAGTTGTTGTTCCAGTTCCTCCCAGTCTGGTTCCCAAACCCATCCCTTCCATCCCTCCTGGCTTCCTTATCTGGCTCCAGGACAGACCTCATAACTCAGCCCTTCTTTTCCCCACAGATCATCATTTTTGAGGAGGTGATGGCAGGCTCTGTGATACAGTTTACTGACACCCCTTACCTGGGCAGAAACCAGTACATTCACTAAGCAGCAGCCCTGGCACCTCCTGCCTGGTGAGCTGCTGCCTCCTCCACTCCCCTACAGGAGTGTCTCGGTAGTAGCAACCTCAGGGAGCCCAGAACTAATTTATTCCGTGCTTCAGTCTGAAACTCTAGTCCTGGGAATTCTGAAAAGAAAGATGGAATGATCCTGGGGCCCTCAGACCTGGATGGCTTTTCAGCCTGGTTCCGTGGATGGAGCCTTTCCCTGCTCTTCTGGAAGAGGCCAGAGTGATGTCTCTGAGGGGATAGGCATGTTTAGTTAGATCACAAAGTGATGAAACCCTGAGCCCTCAGAAAAGGTGCTGATGATAGGAGGGCATCCTCCCCTGTACTAGTCATCACAGCCCTGCTGCTTAGTCTTCTGGACATAGGGTATGCTCTTCAAATATTCCCTGTGGAGCTTGGCCACATCCTGCATGGCCCCTTTCTGTTCCTGAAATCATGGGTTTGTCGCTATTAGTAGATGAGAAAGAAGAAGGGGCATTTCACCTAAGTCAGTTTTATTTTTCTTTACCACTTCGAGCTGCCTCTGGGATTCTGGAAGGAACTGTTTGAGAAATAACCTGTGTTTTTCTCCTTTTCATTCCCACTCACTGCATATGATAGGATGACAAATTGAGTTTAAGAGAAATGGAAATACTTATCCACTTATTTTCCTGAATTAGATAGCATTTCCAGTTATATTCAATGGGAGAAGCATCAGTTGAGGTGGAAATGTAGATCCTACCGGAAATCACAGCCCATATCTGAACTTCCAAGGAGGGGAAGGACAGAAGGCCCAGTTAAATGTTATAGGGCAGATGACCCACACTCCCTGGGAATTTGGGGGTAGTCACAAAACCTCCAGGCCTAACCCAGGCCTTACCTCCAACTTGGTAAACTCTCTTCCACTGTAACTAACCAGCAGTGAGAGGGAGAGGCAACCTTCCTCCACAGTTGTCTCCATGTCCAAATTGGAGGTTCTTGTTTTAGAGATTCTAGAGTCCAGTTGTTTGACTCAGGTTCACTCTCCTGGATTGCAATAAAGCAATATATTTGAATCAAGTTCTCTTTGCCAATGTCTCTGGTCTCATCTCTGCCACTCTGAGCCAGTGGAGAAGGCAGTCTGGGATCAGGAACATAGTTAGCCTCCTGGCCCTCAGGAATCCAGACTATGACCACACCAACTGTTTGTTGGTCCACACCCCTGTCTTCTCACCACTTCATCTGACCTTGATTCTGCTTGAAATGTGGCTGGATTGGAAGTGCCCCTCGAGAGGAGAGATCAAATACAAATCCATTCTTATGCTGGTGGGCAGGGATAAGAATTTTCCAGATGGCCAAGAGTATTGCATGTGAATTAGCTGGAGGGTGTGTCGGGGCAGGACAGTTTTTCTTTGTGAACCACATCTGGCATGTACTGCACCAAACTAATTATCTTCACTAATAGTTAAAAGTCAAATAGCACATACCTTCTGAGCACAGCACCCACACAGGAGTTCAGTAAAAGTGGGTTATGACAGGGCAAAAAGGCTTACAGGGTGACCAGTTGCATCCTGTGTGTGGGTGAGCACAAGGTCTGCATTGAGAGGGGCACTGATAGTGTAATGCAACCATGGAGCAAAGAGCCCAGCAAGATCAGTGGCAGTCAGTATGCCCTGCATGTCCCATTAAGAGGAGAGAAGTGGAATTTATTAACATGATGGTTGCAGACAGTGACTGGAGAGAAAGACAGGGCCAGAGTCCCTAATTTTGTCCAAGCTTACCAGTTCTTTATGTGATTCCTTGAAATAGCAAGCTTTGAAGTGAGATGTGGACAATCTGAGGGCTACTTGATTATGGCCTGAGGCATGGGGCAATGTCACAGTGTCACTTTGTCTTGTATTACATAAGAGTGGATTTCTGCAAAGCTGGACACTTGGAATTGTGACAGCAGATTGGAATTTAAGGAACTCTTACAGAAAATCCCTTTGGAAAGTAAACAGTTCCCTAAATTACACTTTTATGCACACCTATGTATTAGCCCTTTCTTAAAAAGAGATCTTACTGTAGCAACTTCTTATTCTTGACTTTATCTGTTTCCCTATCAAAGCACCTCTTGGCAGAAATTATTCTCCAAAATTCACTAAAAGTTTTTTCTAGATCTCTTTATGGTCTCATCTTATTTTCTTTGGAAGACCTCATCTCTTACCCCAGCCTAAATTCCAGGGGTCTCTGGGCTCACTCATTGGGCTCCATCTTTCTTTTATCCACACTCACTGCATGGGGTCTCAACTGTGAGACTTATGTCATGAACAACTTTGACACCAATAGCCCCTGATGTCCATCCATACCCACACTCCAGGTACACAGGCAGCTGTCCTCTCATGATCTTCTGTATATGTATAAGCATCTGCAACAGAATTCTGATTTACCCCATGTGGCCCTTCCTGCATTCTTTCCTATATCAAGAAATATCCATTCTATTCTATAGCTTAGATTATTTTTGGCTCCTCTTTATGTCCCACATCCAGTCCCTCAGCAAATACTGTTGGCTCTGCATCCTAAAACAAATCCAGAATTTAGTCAATTCTCTCTGCCCCCAAGCTTGAACCCTTATCCAACCCACCATCATCTCATACCTGAATTGTTGCAGAAGCTACCTCCCTGGCCAGCCCCTGCCCTTTCCATTTGTCATCAGCACAAAAGCAGAAAGGTTCTTGAAGAAGTTTGGTTAGATCATGTAGGTTCTCTGCTCCAAACCCTCCAATGCATTCTTGTTTCACTCAGTAGAAACTGAAAGCTTTGCCCTGGATCTTGGAGCTAACATGTTCTGGGCACCCCCCTCACATACCTGTCACACCTACTCCACCCATTTCCCTTGTCCAATCTGTTGCAGCCACATGATGTGCTTAGCTATGAACATTTTGTGTTCATGTTCATAGCTAAGCACTCTTCCACCTAGGGAGAGTTCTTTCTTCTTAGAACACTACATGTTGGGGTATTCCTGCTTTACTCAAAATTGCCTTATCAGGAACAAATTATATTCCATGCATGTCAAAAGAGTTATTATGTATAACTATAGTTATTAACTATAAAATATACTAATAAGAGCAGAAATAAATAAATAGGGAAAACAAGTCCCTTTTCAGAGGCCTTCTGACTGCCCTCTAAAGAATCTGAGCCTCTCTTCTTATGTTCTCCATCTCTCCCAACTGGCTTTGTTCTTCTTTCAGCAGATCCCATCTGAAATACTATATATATATATATATATATATATATATATTTTTTTTTTTTTTTTGCTATGATCCACCTCCTCTCAGTAGAGGGTAAGCTCTATGAAGACAGGGGCCTTCCCCCCCCCACTGCCATTTTCTGGCTTCTAGAATAATGCTGGCTCATGGTAGGCACCTGACAAATAATTGTTGGATAGTTACGTTAATAAATGAGAATAAAAATAAGGCAGGGCTGAAAAGAATTAGGACTGTTAAAAACCATATTTGACTTTTAATTTTGAAAACAAATTAAATACAGTTAAATTAAAAGAGATCAGATGGTGCAGCTGCCTGGGCTCCCCCTCACCCCAGCCACTGCCCTGGAAACTCCTAACCCCTGGCTTCGGTTCTTTATGGTGGGGCTCACCAGCAATGGAGCAGGGAACAGACTGGGTTTGAAAAACAAGTCGTCATTGTGGACCCAATTCTGACTTATAACAAACTCATTCCCAACAAAGATGAAGGCTGCAGTCCACCAGGGTTATAATTATAAATAAATATACATGCAGCTAAGAGAGGATATTAGGTGAAAACAACTGAACTAGCAATCTGCCAAAAAAATAAAATAAAAATCCTCATTTTGTTGTTCATTATTAATTTCCTGAAAATAAGCCCTAGGTTTTTGGCTAAGAAGGTGTTCTCATACCAGCCAATTTGACCTTGGTATTCAGGGCTAGTTTTCATGAGGCAGTAGAATGCCCAGACATAAATTCACTCATCTATGGATGCCTTATGCCCACCTCCTTCCTCTGTCCCATGCCATCACACTTGATGCCAAGGGGTCAGTTTCCAAAGCAATATCCAAAGTATAAGAGGTTGGGGAAAACATCCTGCAAGGTGATTCAGGGATCTGATTTAATCAGATGGTTTCATGAATACAGTGGGAAGTTATATTCATTTCAGAATAGGCAGCCAATGCTATACTCTGAATGTTAGGTGTCTGGACTGAATCCCACGCACACATCCAGGAGTGGTTTCTGCATGGCCCTCAGACCTGTCCTATAAATTTTAATGGAGTAAGGGAAGGGGCTGTTAGCAGTTAAAAAATAAACACCTCTGCAGTAGGCACAGGCCCTTTACTTTTCCTTCACGTGGGAGGAAAATTGTGCTTCCAACTTTCAGGAGCATGTGACCACCACCAGAGGGGCTGTCCTGGTCAGAGAGCCAGGGACCTCTCTAGGGCCCTGGGAGAACCAGGGAGCCACTACTCCCTGGGTAGAGGCAGCAGTTTGCAACTCTGTTCTCTCTCTGGAGTGGAGAGGGGACAGCTGGATATGAGGTGGGCCGGCTCTGCATGCTCCCAGCTTCAGGAGAAGTGAGATTTTATTTCCCCTTTTATATTTTAAATTAGAATGAGCAGTTTGTGCTCAAGTCTCCTTTCCTTAGTGTCCAACTGATCCCTGCCCCTTTTCCCTAAATCTCTCCAATCTAATTTCTCATCCCTCAAAATAGGAGCAGAAAGAAGTTGGGGACTCTCCTAGCCCCTTCTACTCTCAAGGCTGGAGGAGCTGTCTGCCTCACCTATCATTGCTTACTGTAGCCGTGAGGCCTGCAGTTTTCAGTAGCCACAGGAAGAAGGTTTCTTCCCTCCCCACCCTGGGCCAGGCAAGGGGCTATAGCCCAGGGCAGGGTGGGGAGGTAGTATATGGATAGTGGGGGTCATGTTGTTCTTGGTCCAGGTCATTCAGTGACCTGTGTGGCTCTAGGCCCACCTCCTTTGCCAGTGTTGGAGAAGAAGGCTTGGGGAAAGTGG